TAGCAAGACGCTGGGGAAACATAATTCTCAGCTGCAACACCTGGGCTGGATTCAGGCCAGAGTTACACTGAGTTCTGCTGGCATAAAGCAGGGCACAAAGCCCCAGCAATAGAAACGGAGTGGGGTCACCATTGTGCAAGGTGCCATCAACTCATAAAACTTAGATCCTTGCTGCCCTGTTATTTTTGCTCTCATTCCAATGCTGCCGTCCAAGCCAATGCCAGCCCTTGCAGCACCTTCCGTGGTTTCTGGATCAGGCCCAGATAGCAGATGGGCGTTTCAATAGCACTGCCTGGGGCATGCTCCCACACAGCACAAAGGACAGAGGGTAGCAACACCAAAGAAGGGGGGTGCAAACCTGATCCCGCACTAACGAGATCACTGCTTGCATCCTGGGAGCTAGGCTCTTTGTTAGAAGTTCATTGAGAAGTCCGACTGTTCAGCCATGCCCCATTCTCTGCCCCCTTCCCACTAGCCATTACTGAATGGGCCAGCAGGGGGCCTGGGACTCCCCCCTGCCCAGGGCAGAGGGCTCAGCCCAGCTGCACCCCCCTGGAGCATCTGCTCACAGTCGCACAGAATCACAACAACTGCACACCTGGTAGAAGTGCTCACAGGGTCAAGACCAGAGGGCAGGGATTGTCCTTCTGACCGGGTGCAAGGGCATCTCCCCAGCGCGAGGTGACACGGGGCTCACTCCAGATGGTCCCACCACATGCACAAGTGCTCAAGGGATGGACTCTAAATTGGCAGCTTCTGGAAAGAGATGGGGTAGGGGGCCCTCAGGAAGGGCCGGCTCCAGCCCCAGGGGTCATGGGGAGTCCAGGCCATGGATGTCCACGGGCATGCATGGATCCACCAGCCATCCCCGGTTCCAAGCCTGCACTTGTCCACGCTGCCCTGGGCAGATCCCCGCAGAGCACAACCCTGCATTACACCTCCCCCACACACACCAGTTCTGCAGCTTCTCTCAGCTTTAGGCACTCAGAGTGTAACTCTCCCTGCGAAAGGCCTGACACTTCTGTCCTATTGAGGGAAGGGCAGGATTTGCCCCTTAAAAGCCTCTAATTGCATGAATCCTTGCTAGGCTGGTCTCCCCACACTCCTGGACCAGATCTGTAACCCTGCTTATGCACTAGAGCAGCAGTTCTCAAACTGTGGGTCAGGACCCTGTTTTAATGGGGTCACCAGGGTTGGCGTTAGACTTGCTGGCCGAAGCTGAAGCCCAAGCCCCACCACCCAGGGCGGAAGCCGAAGGGCTTCCGGCCTGGGTGGAGGGCTTACGTTAAGCTCAGGTGAACTTAGGCTTTGATCCCCCCTCTTGGGGTCATGTAGTAATTTTTGTTGTGAGAAGGGGGTCGGGGTGCAGTGAAGTTTGAGAACCCCTGCACTAGAAGGTGTAAGCTCTCTGGGGAAGGAGCATATGTTACTCTGTGTTCTGTTCGCGCATCATGACCATTTACAGGGCTACGGTATCGTCCTCAGCGCTAAGCATTGTAAGGTCATTGCCAGGCGGGCTGCAAGACACCCCCTCCTTCCCTTCGAAATCACTGCTTCAAATGATTGGTTTCAGAGAAGCAGCCGTGTTAGTCTGTATTTGCAAAAAGAAAAGGAGGACTTGTGGCACCTTAGAGACTAACCAATTTATTTGAGCATAAGCTTTCGTGAGCTACAGCTCACTTCACTCACGAAAGCTTGTGGTCAAATAAATTGGTTAGTCTCTAAGGTGCCACAAGTCCTCCTTTTCTTTTTGCTTCTAATGATTGAATCCACTCAGTCCCACTACAGCCCTTGTTCCCAGCTAATGGTTCTTGTTTCCTTTGTTACTGCTCACAAGCAATGTCACTTTACACGGATGCTCATGATAAGTCAACTCGTTCTGCGGAAAAACTTGAACATCTACATGCATCTTTGGGCAAAGAGGAAATCTAGAATAGCAAATGCACCCTCTAGTGTTGGTTTCGGGTAGTGCAAGTCAATATTAAACCCAGTTGAATACTATGGCCATTTCCAAAAGAAGGAATCATCAATTATTATTATTTGTATGGTGAGAGCACAGGGAGCTCCAGTCATAGACCAGGACCCTATTGTGCTCCGTGCTGTACAAACATATATAAAAGAAGGTGGTCCCTTTTCCAAAGAGCTGACAATCTCAGTAAAGTCTCTCTCTCTTGTGCAGCTATAGGAGGCTGGACGAATCAGATCTTTTCCTTACAAACAAACAAACTCCAGGGACAATGGGGCCTGCACCAGAATGAAGGGGAAGAGAATACTCAGCTTGGCTTGTGGGGGAAGGGGGGACATTACAAAGAAAACAGGAGCTTGAAGTTTGGGTGATAGAAAATCTGTGATACTAAGATCTGCCAGCACTATTCTATATTAAATCATCAATAAGACAAATCCAATTCCGCCCCCTTTCGATAGCCACCCACAGCTCTGCTGATACACCTCAATCCTCTCAAGCAGCAACCTCTGTTATTTCAGTTCTGAGCTCCCCCCATGGAGTTCACCCAATGCACTTTGATCCTGGCCTGTGTACTCAATCCAGGATCCCCTGCTGCTCCAGTCCTGGGTTCACCCATTCCCCTAGAACTCTGCCAACACACCCCTTATCTACCTGTAGGCTATACCCTGACATCCCTGTTATTCCAGTCTTGGGGGACCCCCCACCACCAGCCTTCCTGATGGACTGTGGTCTTGGCCAGCGGCGTTCCCCCCGTATTTTACTTCTGCACAGACAGCGTCATGTTCAACCCTCCGAGTGGTGGTTCCATGACGAGCAGAAAAGAAGGACGTCCTTGCAATCTTTGCATTGCCATAAATGATTCTGCGTTCCCAAGAGCGTTCCCTCCCACCGAAGAGAACTTGGAGAGAGAGCGAATCTTTGCTACAAGGTATCAAGCTGTTTCCACAAGAAAAGCAATGACTAGGTCACCTAAGAGGCTGTTCTCCCTCCCATGTACAAATGCTCAGTGGAGCTAGGCTCTCCTGAACCCACGTTCACCGCAGCCTGTCTTTAAGACTGCTCTGGGCTGAAGGCTGACACACAAAAGCTTGGTTGGAAAGTGAATCACGTTTTGTTTTAAAAAAAAACAAAACGATGGTGGAATAAGGCTTGGAAGGAAACTGGATTCAAGTGCTTTGGGGGGGGAGGAGAGTGGATTCGCAGGGAAGCCTTCGTTTCAGCCTGCAGCTACAACAGTAAGAAACGACGAAAATGAGGCCACAAGATTTGAGCCGGCCCTTCCCAGAGAGGGCTGCCATGCACTGAGGTGAGTTGGTAGCTTTCGCTCCACTTCCCTAGCACACTCATGCTTCTCCTTGTCTCCAAAGCTTTCCATGGCTTTCCCGCCCCACCTCCCCATGTCTCCTCCTATGCCCTGGCCCTGCCCAGATTCCTTCCTCACTGTCCCCTTCTGTCTTCTCCATCTGAGCCTGAACATCTAGTTCAATGGGACAATGTGGGTCAGTAACATCACTCACACGTGTCTTTGCAGGCCCAGGCTCTAAACTCACATCCTGCCTGCCCTCCAGAGGCCCGGTAAGGTGCACAGCCATTCCGCACCACACAAAAATGACTGAAACCCAAAGGTGAGGCGTCAGCGTTGCTTCAGGAAGTGGGGAGGTGTCCCAACCATTTCCAAGAAGGCTCTTCAGGAGCAGGGCTAAATGCAAGAAGCAGACATGGCCCTGGACTTGCAGTGGGGCTAAGTCCTGGAGTTACAAGTAGGCCAGCAGCCGATGACCTGGCCTGATGCTTAGAGGTGACCAGATCATAGGAAGAGCTTGGCTCAAAGGTTTAATCAGCTGGGGAACAGCTTGGAGCTAATACAGAAATCTGATTAGCAACCAGTGTAAGTGAGCCAGAACTGGTGTGCTTATCCATATATAGTCAGAGCACAAGCAACAATATTTGGTAGCAGCTGGGGTCAGAGCTGTGCATCAGACAAAACAAGAGAGGGCGTGCTTCCCCTGTCCAAAGGCAACTGCAGGAGGAAGGCTCGACTGGCTCCCTGTGGTCCCAGAAAGCAGATCTCACCCTAGCAGAGGCATGAGGCCCAGATTAAGGAGAGAGCGGTCAAAGAGCCACCTAGACACAGTAATGGAGACGTGCGATGGCAAATGCTGTGCAGAAACTCACGCCTATGTCAGAGCCACTGTAAAACAATCAAGCTTGCATCACGGTCAGAACTTCATGTGACTGACACGCTGCTGCTGAAAGCACTTCTAGTTTTGGTTCCGTATTTTAATGCATTCGCTAGAGAGAGAGCGCATACACACTCACAATCCTTTTCCAGCGAGTCAGCCAGATGGAAGCTCCATGACTGTATCCGAGCTTGTCAGAATACATAAACCCATTCAGAGGCAGAGTCCTCCCGATGAAGTGTGTGACTCTGGGGCTACAATCTTGCACCGGGATGGCGGAGAGTTCTTCAAAAAGGCCCTTTCACCATTACAGCGGCACAGCTCTGACCCTCCCTTCTTTCCAACCAGCCCCAGCCAACCAAACATACAAGAATGGCCCCGAAACAAACAACCCTAAACAAAGTAAACTAATACACACTTTAAAAAAATCAGAACTAGATACACTCTCCCAAGCGAACTTCCACCCCAAAAGGGAAGAAGCGCCAGAGTTTCCATGAAGTCCATTAGCGATTTCACTATTGCTTTTATGTGGAAGGGGCCTAGATACTATGGGGATGGGTGGCAATACAAAACTTGCTATTTGTACTCCAGCAGCTCCTAGGCAGCAGCAAGGTTCGTGTGAGGCACTGTACAAATGCAGAGGAAGACGGGGTCTCTGACCCAAAGACACGTGACTGTGACGTGTTTAGCACATCTTTGCACACTCAGACAAAAATAATAATAAATCTGTTTTCTCCCTCCCAATCCTGCCATTCAATACAGCGACGATCCAGAAAACAGAAGAGGAAACCTGGGGCTTATTCCCCACAGGGGTCAGCATGAGGAATGCTTCGTAAAACAAGTTATTGCTCTGGGACAATGAATCAGTGGTTTATTATCAGGTCGACAATTACAGCGGCAGATACAAAAGCACCAGCAGAGGCCCAGTGCTAAGTGGGGATGTCACGTTCTTTGTACTGTGTCCCTGTCACCTCCCTTGGGCTACACCTCAGCAGGCAAAATGCAGGCAGAGAAAAGCTTGTAAAGTGCCCCTCAGTGCAGATGAACCGTAATACTGCCATCAGTGTGCCTTAGCCCTCTGCCCACTGCAGGTAGACCCAATTCCCCATTGCGCTGTAGTTCATCATAATACTGTGCACCTCCAACCTCTGAGCCATAAGAGGGCTACCATGGTTAAAGGGGGTCTTCCTGCAGTCACGTATACAGGTTCAAGATGGCACTTGGAGCTGCACCAGTCCAGCTGGCGGCAGATTCTGATCTCACTTAGGGTCAGTGGTGATCCTACATCACCGAAGCCAGTGGAAGTTTTGCCACCCACTTCAGTGGCAGCAGGATCAGGACCTTAATGTGGCATAAATCCACCGCCACCTACGGAGTTACTCCAGGGTTACACTAAAGTAACAGAGCAGAATGGAGCCCCGCCAAGGAGTCAGCCAAAGAGACTCACGGAGGAGAAAGCAATCCCATCGTGCATTTGTACTGGTGTCCCTGTGGACTGATCAAAGTACAAACGAGGATCTAGGGATTGAACGGAGCTGTGGGCAGTGTGGTGAAGGGGAGGAGGAGGTGCTATTTCAAGGGGAAATCAGTATAATAGCCCTTTAGTATCTAGAGGTAATTCATTCACAATTTCCAAAGCCTGAGTTAGGCAAGTTGCTGCTGAAAGGGCCCGATTCTGAGCTCCCTTACTCCGATGTACATCGAGAATAACTCTGCTAAGGCCAGTGGAGTCATACAGTAATAAAACGAGCACACAGCGAGACCAGAATCAGGCCCAATGCAGAATAAAATAAAATCAACTTCTAAAATTATTTCTATTGTGTGCAAAACTGATAAAATTCCCAGAGCATTATCTGGTAGGATCATCCAAACATCCTTACCCTAACCATCCTGGAAGGGTTTACCTAGGGCAATTCATACCATGATCCCAGACCAGAAAATAGCATGTGAGAATGGGGCCAGATCTGAATCTCAGTTAAATCCAGCGTCACTCCCTAATGATTTCAATGGAGTAACTCAGGATTTACATGGGCATAAGAGATCAGAATCTCCACCCATTCTGGAAATAAAGGGTGAAATGTTGGCTCCTTTGAAGACAATGGCAAAACTCCTATTGACATCAATAGGGCCAGGATTTCACCCATCATACACGCTACTTATAATGGACAGGAGAGAAGGAATTCAGTAGCTGGTACTGGCCAGAGGCTGGGATGTTTTGGGACATGGGAGAGCTGGGGGTCGGGTCTGATGGATGAGAAGGAGTTACAGCATTTGCTTCCTCCCCATTCACTATGTTTAAGGGACAAGTCACGGACCGTGAAATCTGGTCTCCCTCGTGAAATTTGGTGTTTTGTGTACTTTTACCCTGTATTATACAGATTTCACGGGGCAGACCAGCGTTTCTCAAATTGGGGATCCCGATCCAAAAGGGGGGCTGGAGGTCGCGGGGTTATTGTAGGGGGATCACAGTATTTGCCACCCTTACTTCTGCAATGCCAGACAGCAGCAGCTGCCGGCCAAATGCCCAGCTCTGCAGGCAGCAGGGCAGAAGTCAGGGTGGCGATCCCATACCACGTCGTCCTGACTTCTGCGCTGCTGCTGACAGCGGCGCTGCCTTCAGAGCCGGGCTCCCGGCCAGCAGTTGCCACCCTCCGGCCACCTAGCTCTGTAGGCAGTGCTATCACCAGCAGCAGGACAGAAGCAAGGGTGGCAATACCATGACCCTCCCCCTACAATAACCTTGTGACCCCCGTCAACCCTCTTTTGGGTCAGGACCCCTACAGTCACACCACCATGACCTTTCAGATTTAAGTATCTGAAATCATGAAATTTACCATTTTTTAAACCCTATAACCGTGAAATTGACCAAAATGGACCGTAAATTTGGTAGGGTCCTAACTATGTACAAGTTTGCAACCGGATGGTTCAAAGCAGAAGTTGTCACGTGTTCTGTGCAACATTCGCTATACAGAAGAGAGAACCCACCTGACAGAGCAAAGGCAACCAGAGATTAGTGTCCCATTTCCCTTCTGCTCCCCCAACCTCATGTTCCCAGACAGCAAACCAGCACCCAGCGCAGATCTCTGACGGGAGGCATTGTATTGCAGAAGCCTGGAGGATCTTTGCTTCACTAGATTCTCATTTAGAGCACACAGGCACTTGATCTCAAACCGTTATCACAGGAAATAATGGGTAGCTTGTAGGAGTCCACTATAAGCAGCGAGTGAGTCCAGCAGCCCGCTTACTTCTTCAGATCCTGCTCTGCTTTGTCTGAGAGAGGGGGAAACAAAATCAATGCGTCAGAATTTCGACACCACTTCTCTGGAATCCCCTGCTAATTACACACCGGAAGTTTTGATGAACACGGTTAATATTTCACAAGTTCTGTGGTCTGGGGACTAGAGGGCCGGACCAGAGGCACCAAGTTTTTGGTTCTAATTCTGGAGCTGCTCTTGCACCCTCTGGGCCCTTGGGAAAGCCCCTCAGAACCTTGATCCTTGCTCTGCAGAACTCCCCTGGCAGCAGGATCAAGCCCTCTGGTTCTCAGTTTCTCCATCTGTAAAATGGGGGCCATCTTTACCTCTCTAACACGGCTTTTATAGAACTTACATCATTAACGTCTCTAACACACTTTGGAAGGGGGCAGAGAGGCAGGAGGAGTTTACCTAGCTAAGAAGGCCCCGAGCTGAGTGAGTTTTGGGGCCTCCCGTGATGGGACAGGGCAAAAGGAGAGGACAGGGCTTGTGAGATTTCCAGTCCACACTGGACTTCCAGGGTAGGTTTGAGGTCTCGCAAGATTTGGAGCCATGATAGGGCTACTTCCTGATTGCTGGTTTCCAGCAGCCAACCCACCCTGCCCCACTTATCTAGATCTTAGTGGGTTGTGCTGTCTCTACTTGGGGGTTGGGAAGGAATTTTTCCCCAGACCACCAGCTTGGCTGAGGCTGGTTCGGTTATTTCACCTTCCCTGTAACAAAACCTAGGGGCAACCAGCAGGCTGGGATTCTCTCCCCTCCCAGAGGACTCAGCTGGACCTATCTGAGGGTCATTTAGTTGTCGCAACTGTTGGCAGGTGCCCAGTGCAGGAACTTGCCGATGTAGGCTCCACATCCCGCAAGGTGGATGGAGGCAGTGTGTCTAGAGGCAGTGTGTCTAAACCCCTAGAGGAAAATGTGAAGCAGGGGATGGGGCACTACCGCGGGAGGACCACCTCTCCAATGCGCCTGACGGTGACGCTGGTCAAGGTCCCCTCTTGCTCAACCCCCAAAACGGGAAGGGATGCTAGTGGGCAAGTGTGATGGTTGGCTCCCTCTGAGGTGGGGGACACCAAGAATTGGCAAAGGATCAATGGGGTGCAAGTGACCACAATGGGCTGTCCCCCGACTGGAACTTTGGATTTAACTTGACTAATAAAGCTACAGCCTGGTTAAAACCCACATCACATGTCCTTGTCTTCTTCTGCCAACTTGCACTAGCTAACTCTCCCAGCCCCATTCACATGGTCATGTTTCCCTGTCCTTCCTTTACAAATACTAATCTCAAACTGTTCGGCTGCTTCTCCAAACTGCTTTGGGATCTGCAGCACTGGACTGGAAAGCTCACTGGAAGGGACCCTCTCCAACACTCCCTGCTTCTGGCCCAGGAAGTTCAGGGGAGCATTGATTTATTTGTTCATTTTAAAATCTAAAGGCCTGGAAGGTTTGTTTAGGATTCTGGGTAGCTTCTCAGTTTATCTGAGTCCATCACCAATGACCTAATAAAAAACAGCCACCCCTAACTGAACCCAAAGCACAATGAGGCTCATCAACAAAAATCTCACAGAGAGCGAGATCAGGGGGACCACACCCAGGAGAGTTTACCAACACGGCTCCAGCCTCATCACTTTATCAGCTTGGCGCCTGCTCCTGTTCCCATTGACCTAACCAGAGAGGGCCCCAGGGAAGAACATTCCCTAGTATTCTTTAATTGAGTCAGCCTGAGGCGCTTTCTGCCACAGCGGCCATGATCCTGGACCGTGGTTGTCTCACTAACAGAGGTGGAAGAAAGAGGGAAACAAAGGAAGGCACCTCACTCCCTGCCAGGAGGCAGGCCTGATCAAGAATGCTCCCAAGGGTACTCTCAATGCCCCAGCTGTGTTTGGGAATGCGGGGGGTGGGGGGGGGGGGAGGCCTGCCTTAACACTGGTCCTTGGAGATGGAAACACCAAACGCGGATGCTAGCCAAATCCATTCTTATTAAACATGCCCTCGCTCAAACCCTGGAAACCACTGGAGTCGCTGACCAAACCAGGCAGATCCCAGCCAGAGGGACTGTCCAGGTGCAGCCCTTACCTGCAGGGATGAACTTCAGCGAGCTACTGAATATTCAGAAGCGAGACTGCCCCCTCTTCAGCCCGTCGTTGAGGAACTCATGGCCCAGTCCATTGCCGCATTTGCCACAGGACACCTAGAAGATGCAAGGGAGGAACACGAATGAACCGGGGCCAACCCCCAGGCGCCCCCTTTGTGCTGCTATTCAGACAGCGAGCAGCAGGCACAGGAGCTGCCCCTTTAACAGGGACAAGTCAGGGAGAGCTGTCAAGCTTCTGCTTTACTCTCTACAAGGTTTTCATCAGCACCTTCAAGGCGCCCGGCCGCTCTTCGTACTTGGCCACACTGTCGGCATGCACGGTTTCAGTGAAGGCCGGCCAAGGAGACGAGTGCTGGTATTTTGCTCTGCTGGAGAACAGCTCATAACCGCATTTGGAACAGATGTAAATCCCTGGGGAGGGGGACAGGAGAAATGACGGGTTAACTCCAGGTGGCAGCTAACCCTGTAAATTCAGTCACGTGTGTGCTGCACCTGTAACGCCTGGATCCTGCTGCCCAGACAGCACTCAAGGTCAGAGAAGATCACCTCAAAGAATGGTTTACAATACAGCCCTGCTAAACATGAACTCAGGCCAGGATACACCAACAGGTCACCAAACCTTAGCCAAACCTGCCACCACCTGCTGTCACTTTCCAGTGGCCAAGATAGGACTAAGGATTTCATGGCAGTGGCAGGGATGAAATCTCAGAGCCCTCTACTGCAAAATTGCAAGCCTCTGTCACATGAACTAAAGAGAATCCCATTTAGCTACAAGCAGTACAGGGCCTATGACACCGTTCTGGATCCTCTCTGTCACAAGCACACACTGGCCTGTTCCTTATGCACCTTTGGCCCAAGCACGGCTCAGAAGAGAAGCCCTGGTCCACACCCACCTCCAGCTGACCCCAGCTCTGGCGCGGTTTCTCCCGCAAGACTGGGCCCCGCTCATTCTATTGCCCAACCCAGCTGGGCTCTGGGCAGTCTGAGCTACCTGCCACTCCCACGCCCTGGCTGGCATGCCAGGGGGCTCTGCAAGCACCTGTGCGCCTCCGGGGGATTCAGAGCGGGTCTGGGGTTCTGTGCGGCCACCCGGGGATTGGGGGAGCTCAGACCCAGGCCCCACGGCTGAGCTGATCAGGGCCCCTGTGTTACCAGGAGGGGGCTGGCAAAGGGGTTCCTGCTGCCTCCAAGCCCCAGCAGCCCGGCCCCCCTGGCTGAAGGCCACCCCTATGGACAGGGAGAGCCCAACCTCCCCTATGAGCTGCGGGAGCCCAGCCGCCCCTATGGAGAGAGGGAACCCGGCCCCTATGGGCAATGGCCACCCCTATGGACAGGGGGATCCCGGCCCCCCTATGGACCAGGGGAGCCCGGCCCCTATGGGCAACGGCCACCCCTATGGACTGGGGGAGCCCGGCCACCCCTATGGACCGGGGGAGCCCGGCCCCTATGGGCAACGGCCACCCCTATGGACGGGGATCCCGGCCACCCCTATGGACTGGGGGAGCCCGGCCGCCCCTATGGGCAATGGCCACCCCTATGGACCGCGGGATCCCGGCCACCCCTATGGACTGGGGGAGCCCGGCCCCTATGGGCAATGGCCACTCCTATGGACAGGGGGATCCCGGCCCCCCTATGGACAGGGGGATCCCGGCCACCCCGATGGACTGGGGGAGCCCGGCCCCTATGGGCAATGGCCCCCGGCCAGGGGCCCCCCGGCCGCCCCCCGCGGGCCCCGCTCCCGCACCGGGCTCGAAGTGGCTCCGGAACGGCTCCCCGCCGAAGAAGGCGCAGAAGGACATGGCCGCCACGGGCGACTCGCGGCGCACTGCGCATGCTCCGCGCAGCGGCTGAAGGCCCTGGGGCTCTGCGGGCTGCTCTCGAGGGGGCTAAAAAGGGGCCAAGGGGGCGAATCGGAGCGGGGGGTGCAGCAGCTGGAGGCTGGGGCTGGGGGGGAGCAGCGTTAAGCCAGGGGCGAGGCGCTGGCAGAGGGTCACAAGGGGCAAAGCCTGGCACTGGGGGCAGCAGTTGCCCCAGGGGGACTGAGACCCCCCCCCCCGAGTTTGCCAAAATGGTGAGGGGGCAAAGGGGCTTTTTTTTTTACTTCCCCTCTCACAGACAGCACCTCTCAGCACGGACACCGGGGCCAGGCCCTGGCTCCTCGGGCCCGCCGGGGATTCAGTCCGTCCGCTGCCGAAAGTGGTCGGGGTCCGAGTCCATGAGGGGCACAGGCTCCTGGGGGGGCGCCGGGCCAAATCCAGCCGAGGTGCAGATGGGGTGTGGAAACCCCCCGCCCGGGGGTGCTGTGATCACTTACACTGGGTGCCAGGGGCAGGGGAGTGTAACTTGCACCGATTTGACACCCGCGGGGGCTGCAGATCGAGAACAGAATAAGGACCTGGGCCTGCGTCTCCTCTCGCCTACCCCAGTGTAAAACTGGGCTGACCCCACCGCTTTAACCGCTGCTAGACGCCAAGGGGCCTGCTTTAACTTTGTTCTTCTCTTGGCTTCTCTTCCTGCTCCCCCTCCTCACTTAGCCCTGATTTTCTCCCCTTCTTGCGGCCATGCAAATCAGGAGTAACTCCCAAGAACGCAGCTCAGTTCCTCTGGATTTACCCTGGGATAGCTGACATTGGAATCTGGCACATGTTTATCTTGACATTCCCTGTTTGAACAGAAATTGCTCCATCTCTAGGAGTTCTCATAACCTTCCCCTGTAACCTTTCAAATGAGCTGAATATTTCATTATACACAAGCCTGCGGGGGATCTGCCTAATGCACAAGACACTTCATGTCGCATCTGGACACTGAAGAAATCTGAATGGCACAGGGCTGATGGCAATCCAGGCCCTGCAGCAGCAAGCACTGCTGGAGAATAATGGCTTTTGCTGCAAAGAGTTTGTGAAGGACACTTCCAGACCTCACTCATCCGAAGTGGCATATTTTGAGCTGCTTGTTAGACTCATGGACATCGCTAACCTACACAAAGTAATAACCAACAGCAACCTCATATTCTCACTGGGCAGGTTCCTAGGGGGAACGGATTTGGAGTGGGAGGTGGAGCTCTTCGCCTCAAAGATAAATCCAGTCAAGTCAGTTTCCTTCTGACAGCTGATGGCCTTTGTCAAATGCACCCTCTCAGTACAGCAAAAACGAGGAGGAGTCCTCCTGGCACCTTAGAGACTAACAAATTTATTTGGGCATAAACTAACAAATGTATTTATATAAATGTGTTAGTCTTTAGGGTGCCAAAAGGACTCCTCGTTTTTGCTGATACAGACTAACACGGCTGCCCCTCTGAAACCTGTCTCAGTACAGTTCCCAGTGGACCGGTGTCACATTTCTGTTATTATTGATTACAGTGTATAAGGACCTTCAGACGGAGAAAGTACTGGGTCCTATAGGGCTCTTTAGTCTTTATAGGACTAGTGGAGAAAGTCAAAACAAAAATCCATGCCTGGAACGCTGGAGTCAGGCAAACTGAAATTGGAAAGGCACAAATTGTTACCACTGGGGGAGATTAACCATTGGAACATGCTTCCAAGGAAAGTGGTGGATTCTCTCTCTTGCTGTCTTCAGATCCAGAGTGGAAGAGATGCTTTAGCCAAACACAAGCGACTGGGCTTAATACAGGGGTACCTGGGTGAAATTTATGAAGCTGGGATGCCCAGGAGGTCAGACTAGATGATCTAATGATCCTTTCTGGCCTTAAATGCTATGAATTTACATTGCAATAATGCCATAAGGCACTAATCAAGGACAGGACGCCATTGCGCTAGGCTCTGTACAAACGCATAACAAGTGACAGGGCTTGACCCAAACAGTTTACAATCTAAGTAGATAATAAGATAGACAAAGGGTGGAAGAAAAGCAGCATTATTATCCCCATTTTACAGGTGTAGAACTGCGGCCCAAAGAGAATCAATGACTTGTCCAAGGTCACACAGGGAGGCAGTGGCAGAGCCAGAAATTGAACCCAGGGCACCTGAGTCCCGATCAGTCATTTAACTGATGCTTTTGCTCTTCCTTGCATCTCAGAAATCATCAGCCTTGAGGGCAACATCAGCAGAGTATATTGATTTACTGGGTTATGGAGAATTAATTCTAGCAGAGGCTGCTTTAGGACCATGATAGAAGATAGCTGCTACCTATCTTGTACGTGTTCTGCTCCATACCTGTCACTCAACGTGTCAGGATGAAAGTTACTTAGTGATAACATAAACTATCTAATGCTATAAAGAGATCGCAGGCCCCATTCACAGCTGATGCAAGCAACTAGAGGATTTAAGGACAATAAGGAGTTTTCTACGTATATTAGGAACAAAAAGAATCCTGATACCGTTATTGGTCCATTACTAGATGGAAATGGTAGAATCATCAATAATAATGCAAAAAAGGCATAAGTGTTAATAAATATTGCTGTTCTGTATTAGAGAAAAAAACAGATGATGTAGTCTCATCAGATGATAACTCTTTCTTTCCACTGGTATCTCAGAAGAATGTTAAACACCAGCTACTGAAATTAGAGATTTTTAAATCAACAGGTCCAGATAACTTCCACCCAAGAGTTTTAAAAGAGCTGTCTGAGATGCTTTGCTGGATGGTTAGTGTTGATTTTCAAGTCTTGGAACACTGGGAAGTTCCAAGAGACAGGAAGAAAGCTAATGTTATGCCAATACTTTAAAAGGGTAAAGGGGATGAGCCGGGTAATTGTAGGTCTGTCAGTCTGACATCTATATGAGGCAAGATAATGGGTGGTTGATATGGGGCTTGATTAATAAAGAATTGAAGGAGGGTAATTTAATTAATACCAATCAACATGAGTTTGTGGAAAATAAATCCTGTCAAGCTAACTTGATTTTTTTTCATGAGATTACATATTTGGTTGATAAAGGTAATAGTATTGATGTAATAAATTTAGACTTCTGGAAAGTGTTTGATGTGATGCCGCACAATATTTTGTTGAAAAAACAAAATTAACATGACAAACATTAAGTGGATTAAAAGCTGACTAAATGATATGTCTCAAAATGTAACTGTAGGTGGGGAATCATCATTGAGTGGATGTGTTTCTAGTGAGGTCTTGTAGGGATCTGTTCTTGGTCCTATGATATTTAATGATTTTATCAGTGACCTGGAAGAAAACACAAAATCTTCACTCATCAAGTTTGCAGAAGACACAAAAATTGGGAAAAGTGGTAAATAATGAAGAAGACAGGTTACTAATACAGAGCGATTTGGATTGCTCGGTAAGCTTGGGTGCAAGCAAATATGTGTTTTAATATGGCTAAATGTAAATGTACCTGTCATGAATAGGGGGAAGGGTAGCAACCTTTATGTATCCTTGGCAACTGTACTGGATTGCCTTACCTGTAAGGGGTTAAGTAGTTCAAATAACCTAGTTGGCACCTGACCAGAAGGACCAATGAGAAAAGAAGATACTTTCAAATCTGGAGGGGGAGGATTTGTTTGTTGTTCTCTTTTGTTGTTCCCCCTCCGGACAGTGGGAGAAGCCAAGCAGGTACAACATCTCCTGAAAATATACCTGGAATAATCCATCTAAATCCACAGAAATTGTAAGTAGGGCAAGGAAATGCGTTAGGTTATCTTTTGTTTTAGCATGTGAATTTTTCTATGCTACAAAGGTAGTTTTATTCCTGTTTTTGTAACTGTGAAGCTGAGCCCAGAGCGGAATCCTCTGTTCTTTTAAATCTTTTTATTACCCTGTAAAATTACCTTCCATCTTGATTTTGCAGGTGTGATTCTTTTATTTTTTTTTCTTTATAAATGAAGTTCTTCTTTTAAGAACCTCATTGATTTCAGTGTCCTGAAGACAAAGTGTTAGGACTGTCTCACATTGCAATTGGTTGGTATATTATTCTCAAGCCTCTGCAGGAAAGGGGGTGAAGGGGTTTGGAGGGATATTTTGGGGGGACAGGGATTCCAAGTGACCCTTCCCTGAATTTTTGTGTAAATCACTTGGTGGTGGCAGCAATACCAGTCCAAGGACAAGGAAAGGATTTGTGCCTTGGTGAAGTTTTAACCTAAGCTGGTAGAATATAACCTTAGGGGATCTTTCATGGAGGTCCCCACATCTGTACCCCAGAGTTCAGAGTGGGGGGGAAAACCCTGACAGTACCCCTCTAGGAACAAAGAACGTAGGTCATACAGGATGGGGGAAGCAGTGACTAAAAGAATTTGGGAATACTGATGGATAATCAGCTGAACATGAACTCCCAGAGCGACACTGTAGCCAAATGGGCTAATGTGATCCTTGGATGCATAAATAGGAATCTCAAGTAGGAACAGAGCAATTATTTTATCTCTGTGTTTGGTACTGGTGTGACTGTTGCTGGAATAGTGTGTCCAGTTCTGGTGCCCACAATTCAAGAAGGACATTGATAAATTGGAGAGAGTTCCAAGAAGAGCCTTGAGAATGTTTAAAGGATTAGAAAACTTTCCTTATAGTGGTAGGCTCAAAGAGCTCCATCTATTTAGTTTAACAAAGAGAAGCTTAAGGGATGACTTGATTACAGGCTATAACTACCTACATGGAGAACAAATGTTTAATAATGGGCTCTTCAGTCTAGCAGAGAAAGGTATAAGATGATCCAACGGCTGGAAGTTGTAGCTAGACAAATTCAGACTGGAAATCTGAGAGTAACTAACCACTGAAACAATTTACCAAGATTGCATGTTCTTCTAAAAGATCTGCTCTAGGAATTATTTTGGGGACATTCTATGGCCTGTGTTATGCAGGAGGTCAGACTAGATAATCACAATGGTCCCTTCTGGTCTTGGAATCAATGAATCTACAGGTCCACTGATATCAC